TCCAATATTCAGGAAATTAATTGTTAAATTGCTGTCTGCTATTGGTTTCAGTATTTTAGACTAACAAGTAATTACCAAATTATGAAACCATTCACACACACATTTGTCTTGATAAACTGGGAAGATTTGCAGCACAAAAACAGAAGTCACCAATCTGAAACACTGAATACACAGGCAATTTAATCTAAACTGGAACATAAAAGTAGCAAGAGATCAAAACTACTTGGAAATCACCATTTTTATGGTCAGCATGCAGCAGAATGACCATCTATTACTCTGAAGAGAAATAAACCTGAAACCAGGTATTAACAGACCTGTAATGCTCCTTATACATCACTAATTATGCACAGGTTGTCACTTAGATTTACAAGTACCAATGGACAAAAAAGGGGAGAGATTGCTGAAATAAGTCCTCCAGCTCTCCTCAGGGTTTTCATTTGTACAAGGAGGATAAAACAAGCATGTATCTTTCTCTCCCTCCAGCACAGTAACTTTTTTTGCTACTTCAAAAATTAGTAAAATAACAAATTATAAAGTTTAGCACATTTTTTACTCCTTTTTGAATAAAATTCTAAAGATCTCATAAGCTGAACAAAAGAAAGCAATTTTCAACTACCAATAAAAAGAAACTGCCTGCACAAAATGGTTTCAGAGTACAGCCCACATTCTGTCTCTTTGAAGTAAAAAATCTTCCACTTCTTGAAGAGGTTGCTTGGACCACAGGACAAGGTTCTTCAATGATGAATGTGGCAGGAGCCAGTAGTAATAAACTGAAAAGAGCAGCTGCTGACCATATGCATACAAAGGGAAAAAGCCAACTGCAAGAAAAATAAAATAATGGAACAGGAATTGGCATGAGGCTGTTGAACCTCAAGACCCAAGTGGACAAAACACTAAGAGAGCTGGTCTGAACTCAACGTTGAAACTGTGCTCACCACAAAGTTGGGTTAAATGATCTGTAGAGATCAACTAGAATTACTTTGATTTACCAGGCTACCCAAATGTACATATTTATTTTCTTTTACCATCTGAATGAATTTAAGATAAGGATAAAGTACCACAGCAAAATCCTCTTATGAATGTGGCAGGATCTGGTTTTAAGCACAAGATTAAGAAGCACAGCATTTTTGTTTCTATCTGTCTGAGGTAACTGAAACAGAATTTATAAAAAAGTTATTGGAAAGACAACTATTTTCCTCAGCAAACAATTAAAAAAAGAATTTTGCCATAAAACAACAGATCTTCCTACAAATATTACATAGAGTGCCTTGCTGGAAAAAAAATATGGCTTAACAGAAATGAAAGTTTGCTGTATGAGTAGGAGATTTTTCTACCAACCCTGCTACACACCACAAGTGCCAACAAGTTTCTCAGATGTACAAAATGGACTTCTGACAATTTTGGATATTTTACTGATCTTATGAAGCAATTATTATTCAAGGGAAAACAGTTAACTCTCTCAGAAGAACAACACATTTTAAATGGTGGCTTTGTTATAAGAAAGATCCAAAGTTTTAAACAGGTCAAAAAAGAAAACACCACCCTTTTTTTTTTTTTTTTTAAATATTAATTTAACAATACAGTGAGTGCAATGCAGTAAGTTAATGCTTTTGGAGTTAAAGCTACTATGTTACACTGGGTTTAGTATAGTTATATTTTCCTTAAGAGGTGATGAACAGCTGCTAAGTTAAGGTCCAAAAAACCACATTTATTTTTAACATTTGGCAAAGGTTTATGGTTCTCTGTACAGACATTTCAAAGTGTATGTTGGAAATAAATATGAAATGTCAATATTTAGCTTTATTCCAGATCTTTAATGAAATTACTGCTTCTGTGAAATATGTATTACTTCTAAATATGTATTACAGCTTCCATTGCACAGATTGGAAAACTGTAGGGGATAAAAGAAAAGTTTATTAATAAGTATAAAATGAAACAACAGCTAGCCAGGTTGCCCCACTGGCCATATTTCAGCATGCTTACTTTGACTTCATTCAAAGAAATCAAGCTAAAAAAAAAAGTCAAAACAATGCTTTTCCTTTCTGGGTTCTGAGACCACTGACCTTCAGTTAAAACTCACTGTACTGTTGCGAGTTTATTTTACAGACAATTGGAGCACTATTAGCCTAAATATTGCAAAATAGGGTACACAGACATGGAAAAAACCTAATTTGTATGCTAGAATATGCATGTAAGCAATTTGGAATTGTCCTTCATGTGTCCTGCTATATTTATGCAAAAATATCCCAGACCTAAAATGGTCATTAAAGCAGTTGGCATTTAATCCACAGATCTATATGAGGGGGTTTATTTTTATATAAGGATTTTATATGACTTTTTATTTTTGCTCATTGGCTTTAAGACATAAAATGACTGGTTTGTTTTTTTAACTGATGAGAATTACAGGTATATTTATTTTTAAACTGCAATCATACATCCCTGCGCTACGTACAAAATGTGTATGGAGACAAGGCAGTTAACAAAGAAGTTAACAAGTTTGCATTTTCTACAGTAACAGGGCAAACTGCTTTTTAATGTTTTAGCTAGTCAGGGTGAACCTGAGATTCCTCATCAGAATTCACTGCAACTTCCTGACACATGAAAATAACCTCTGCCCCAGTTATTCTTCACTAGCACAGCCATGACTGCTTCACTGACCATAAACTATGGCAATTTATATGGGCATGGACCTGCCCTGAGGCAGCTTTAAAATTAGCTAATGTGCTATTTTGGGCTTTGCTTTTAAATACATCTAATCTCAGACAAAACATGCCATATTAAAATCTTCTATGCCACATGTTCACTATATTTTTTTGCCAGACAGTGCTGCTAGTACAAGGTACAATGAGTAATGATCTCAGACTCACGTAGCTAAAGCTCACCAGTATAATGGTTACTACACCAGCAAAATTACCTCTGCAAGTGGCTCTTCATGCTGGCAAATGCAGATACTTTGCTGAAACAGGCTGAGCTCGGGCTCTGTAGCACACAAAGAGGCTCTGGGTGCCATGATAAGTTACCCAGGCACAGGAAGCACTGGAACCTCACCTGAGAAACCCCCCTTGAACAATAACATATCTGCTCTTCTCTCAGTTCATTGACAATCCAAACACTTTTCAGTGTAAGTGATCTTGCCAACCAGGATCATAAAACTCGAACACATTCCACATCTTCCAAATCAAGAAGTTAATTACAAGTGGTATTCATAATTTAGGAGATTCTTTTTATTTCTAAGCTTTAAAGGATGCACTTGCCAGAAACATGACAGATGTAAATTTTTTTTAACATGAAACCTGAGAACGTAATTTAATCTGACTGTAGCAGCTAAAAATGTGTATGAAAAACAAACATTACAAGACTTCCAGTAATCTCAAGTACTGGCAGCAATGCCATAAGAGCAGCTGTAACTGAGAAATGCTTAGATGGACAAAAATTTATTCACATTCAAAATAAATATGCCAAAGATTACTTTATTGAAGATCTCAAAGATCTCAAATCTAGACAACTATGTCAAACAACAGTGGCAATAAAATTATTATAAAAAGAAGCACTTAGTGAGCAAGTGTGCAGTGTGACTTATTAGGAGGCTTTTCTTCTCAATGGATTTAATAGCTAGTGAGGTCTAAATGAATTACTAGTAATAGTCTTGACATTATTTTTTGACAAAACAAAAAGAATCCTATTTCAACATTTCTATTGGAGTGGGAAAATAAAAGTTCTAGGAAAAATAAGTTAGGAATAATTAAGTGTTCTACTGCATCTTACCCCCCCGCCCCCCAGACTACCTGTATTTTCTTCTACTCTTCAAGCAATTTATAAAGGAACAAAATTTCTACAGATGTCTAATATCTTCCAAACAACCAGAAGTTAACAATTTTTCAATTGCCTGTTACATAAACGTACTTGCTATAAAATTCAGAATTAAAAAAAAATAAACAAAACAACCAAAACAGCAACTGTAGCTTCAGAACATTCTGCTACGAAATTAAGTGAACCCATAGTGTTTGGTATCTTTAATAAGATCTGCCTCACAGGAAACACGATAGTACAGTTTTATAGAAGATGAACACTTTTGAAATATTTATAAATTTACATGAATATCATCCATATATACCATGACGCATTTCAATAATTATTCTACAGTACAATGGGAGTGCATGCTCAAACAAAACACCTCAGCAGTATTTTAAAGCAGTAAACCACCTAGCCAATTTCTGTACGTTCTGTAGTTTTTCTAATCCACTCTCCCTGTGGTTGAGCAAAATCGAATTGCCTCTCACATTTGCAGACAGCTCTGTGAAGGTGATAATAGAGCTGCTCCCTGCTGTCATGAGGCAGGAAATAGGAAAATGGCATATGGGGCTAGAAAGAAATAAAAAGAGAACTAAACAAGAACAAAAGAGATTTCAACAAAGGACAACTATAACCCAATATGCTTTGCAAGTTAAAATCTCTTTTCATAATAATTTAACGTACTTAATCATTTATCTGCACGCTTCTCAAAAATTCAAATGCTTGATATCAACTCCTCTGTAAAGTTTTATTGCCCAAAACATTTGGAATAGAAGTTTTAATAAAAATCATCATATGCAATGCCTGTAAATCAATGCATTCTTAGTACCCATGTTAAGGGGCTGAACTTATTCCAGTCTGTTAGTAATTGATCTCAGAATTTGTAGCTAAAATTTAATATATAAAACAATGTATATTTGGATTATTAGTTGTAAACCTGTTGAGTGACACCTGAATAGCAAAATATTAAGAGAGGATTGTGATGGTTTATGTGTACTGACAATATCAAAGACTTCCAGCCTGTTTAAGGACGACTTATCTAAGCTGCAGAACAAACTGGAAGTGATCTTTTTATTTACAATTAAATTTTTGTTTTAATTTTTTTTTTCGCTATGGGCCTCCAAAAATCAAGTACTTACACATATTTACAGTGCTTCTGTATTAATCTTACTGAAGTACCTTAAAAATAAAAAGCAAGCCTACTATACCTTTCCTTTTACACTCTGAATGGGATCCACCACCACAGCAACAGCTCTTTCTGATAAGGCTTCAAAGCTCTGCTGAGTATTGATATCTACACCAGACAACCAACAGCCAAAGCCAGGATGACTATGATACCAACCAACTACCATCTCAGGTCTGAAACAAAGAGGACATTGAGATTTTTAAAAACATAAACACTTATCACAAGAAGAAACAGGAACATATCAGGGCATAAATTATGATGAGCTGTGAAAAAAACACCATTAGTAATATTTAAATTACTCACCATAGTATGGTGAAAACATGGACATGAATAAATGAGACAAAAGAGGGCTATCATTAATGATACACATTAGCAGTGGTAGATCATGCTTTCAGTTTTTCACCCTGTTACCACACCTTCCCTGAACCAGTTTTTACCCTTTCAGCACTTGAGTAAATATCTACTCTTTAACTCCTTGGCATCGAAGGTTGAATTTTCACGGCAGAAAGTCCATTTCAGACATGGACAACGGGAACCAACGGTGGGAAAGGATTAAATATCAATTAAACCAGCAGTAGAACTAGGAACTCAGTCAAAAAGCAATTTGCACTGTTCTGTTCAGCTGCTGAGCCTTTTGCTAACATTAATTTTGAAGTTTTTCCCACAGTAAAAGAATTTTAGCAAGCAGACGACAACTGTTGAGAGGTAGGAGTGAAATAAAAATTTGCTTAAATACTAGGATCTTTTGCAAAATTATTTTCCATTTCATTAAAATTGTTCATGAGTAAGCTATAACTTCAAAAATTTAAAAAAATTTATTTCAAGGGTTACATCAAAAAATCAATCATTTAAGCAGGTGCTGTGTAGTAATCGCCAATGCTAAACTGAGCAGCATTCTAATCTTTCTGGGTGATAATCAAAGCTGTAGATTTAACAGGAGTGACAATCTCCTGACAATTGAAATGCATGAGGGGGACTGTATTACATGCTATGCTACTCACCTAATTTTTGGGGCAATTACTTATTTTTAAACATTATTAATAGCCCTTAGATCACAAGTTTTGCAGAAAGCCAGCCGTTTCTTCAAAAACCGTGCAGGGAGTACTTGTGACTGTCAGCCCTCTTTACAGTGCCTTACCTTCCCGTCTGTTTCAGCATATCCAACATTTTTGCTTGAAATACAGGATCAACTGCCTCCACACTGACACCCTGATTTAAAAAACAGACAAAAATCATAGTAGCTGTACGTGAAGCATTATTATTAAAAGACAGACAAAAATCATAGTAGCTGTACATGAAGCAGTATTATCTTTTAACATGTAACTTCACACAAACAAAAATATTCATAAGCATCTGTTTAAAAAGACAACCTGAATACTTTAGTACTACATGACAGAACACCCTTAAACGCAAAATATAATTTTTAGAAATGTATTTCAATGTGAATTTTTAAATGCTGAAAGAATGCTTTGAATTGCTATTGAAGATTACATGTTTATAAGTAAACATGATTAAATAGGTGTAGGAAATCACTCTTTTCTCCTCTGTTTGGTCTGCAAACCGTGGCCTGTGGTTTGTCCCAAGTTCAGCTCTACACGTTTTATTCAAGATAAATATCACATATTGACTTTTTGTAGATTTTTATATTATGCACATGAGTAAACTCAGGACAAAAGAATTTAAAAATTTCATGGAGTGCAGCTCTGAGTAACAAAGGAATTATCCCATGCCTGTTTCAAGCACATTTCATTCCAGTTACCCGAAATAAAGCACCATAAATTCCAATTATGCCCCTTGACTCTTCATCTCTTTAATCTGTTCATAAAATGGATATTCTTACTCAAAATTTAAACACTTTTTTTTTTCATATCACAGAACTATCATTTAAGAGACATGCAACTAAGATCTGTCAAAGAGAGCAAGTTTGAAGTATATAGAACCATCACAATGTAACCTCTTACATTTTGAATATTTCTGCTGGCTCATACTACATGAGTTTTGAAAGTTACCAAATTATAAGTCTTATAAGTCATGTAATACATTGTAATACAAGTCTTATAAGTCATGTAATACATATATTTATACATAAAAAGGACACAATATCTGCATATGTTGCTATTCACACTTAAGTACTAGCCTTTGCTCAAAAAGAAGTTTTGGCTACATTTCTTTTTACTGAAATCCTTTAACCATTAGACTTGTTTGTATTATAACTCACAGCTTATACCTTCAGATTGCTTCAATGAGGTAAAGCACAAAAACATTTTAAAAATATGTTTACCTTAAGGAAAAAAACAAATAAGCAAATAAAATTATCAAGGTCCAGATGCGAAAAACTCACCGTTCCAGACTGTGGCATTGCAAAAACATCAATCACTCTCACAGTATAATCATCAACAAATTCCCCAAGCATCAGACCCATAACTTCCATAGGGACACCAGCACGACCATGCTTCAACATCTGGAATTAAGATCAAATGACACCATATGTTTAAACGAAGGTTCAAGTCTGATTTGAGGTAGTTTTTTCAGCCTTTGTTGATCTCTAGCTAATTTGCAACTTGTAGCACTTTAGGAAACTGTAACAAACCATAAAATAGTAAAAACAAACCTAACAAAAGAGAACTAATTAAAGTAAGTTTCTGAGGGTTCCAATCAGTATTAATTTATTTTTTAAATAAGTCTGGCCAGCACTTAGGCAACACAAGTCCATTAACTCTGGACTGCTGCCAGGCGCTCTAACTCCAGCATTATATCCAGACATGTATGTACACAGAACACTTACTTTCAGCAGTGCAAGGGAAGAGATATAAACCTGTTCTGCTGTATCAACCGCAGGAGCATCTGTTGGTGGCCCCTGTAAAAACAATAAACAATTATTTTCATCATCATCGTTATTCTGCAGTTTCTAAATATTTTCTTTTGTTTTGCATATTGCAAAATTTGTAGAAAAATGCATATGCAATTGACTTAATGAGTTAGATGTAGTTGCTACAAACAAAACAAAAAATTGCACACCCAATCCCCAAACCCGTGTTTACAGCACTTTCTGTCACTAACACTATTTTGTAATAGGTCACCCAGCCATCATCCTGTCACCCCCACCCCAAACAACACAGCCAGTCAAATATAAAGCAGGCAAGTGTTACACTGGATACAAACCTGTTACAAGCCATTCAGACTAAGAGTCAGATAAGTTTCCATTAGTCTGCCTTGCTGCAATGCTAACCTTCGTCAGCTGTAAAATATGGCCAGTTCTCCAATTAACTATGTGTTTCTTACAGTGGTGTGAATGTAAATGCTGCTGGGCTAGCATGATTAACTGGCACCAACACAAACAGCAATTTCCCTTTGCTTCATCAGCTTTCAGCTAAAGAGGACTTGCAGATAAAGGCTATGGGAGTACTTTGCAGATACACTGGTACAGTGAGAGAAAAAACGGACCTCTGATCCCTAGGTGGAAAAGCTGTGAACAAAATACTTTGCTCTTTGCCTTATGAGTAGTTATTCAAAAATTAGCACAACTGTCCCAGGTGTGAATGATTGGTTGAAACAGGTTCTGTGTACTGTTGAAATTGAAAAACACAGGAGGCAGCAGTTTAAATGTCCCTTTCTTGAGGAACAAGAGAAATATTGCTGTTATATACAGAACTCCACATGAGTATCCCTCATTGCAGCCAATTAACAGCACATTCATTACTTTATTACCAAATTTCCACTGAAAAGACATAGCTTACTTCTGCATGAGGTGATGCAAACTTAGAGGGGCAACAAAGTAACTATGGAAAAAAAAAAAGATACTCCATTATCAAGTTAAAAGAGGAAAAATGGTGCCTTTACTGAACCCTTTAAAGATTTAGAAATTTGAGTAAACAGTTATAAGAAAAACTGGGGGAAAAAAACTTTTGAATAAATTCTTAATTTTTCACTTCAAGTGAAAAAATTCAACACAACATGCATCCTCATGACATCAAACAAGACACAGCGATCAACACAATCCATTACTTCCTGAAGATAAAACTGGATACTTAAGTAATCAACACATTACATTTGTACAGGAATTATCCTTTCTGCATACTCTGATTTTCACACACACAGGAAAACATCAGTCTTCAGAATAAAGCCTTAAAGACAGTAAGAAAATTCAGTTGTGGGGGTTTTCCCCCTTAAAGTCAATTAATCTATGAGTTCTATATCCACTCTTTGTATTGTGAATCCAATCTTTGTATTTTGAAACACATATATGCATGGATCTGTCAACCATACCCACTTCCTAAAAGCTTCAAACCTCTATTTCCAACTTTGATACCGCTGACCATCATCTCTCAGTATTTGCCTTTCCTCACTTCTTACTACTCACTCCTAATTCTTCTGTCACTCTAGTCTTGTCATCAGCAAGCTTCCAGCAGGTTTCTCTGCTTTTCACCTTCCATAGTATTCTCACCAAAGGTCCATTTTTCATCAACCTCACCCCTTTATCAAGTATTTCCCTGGCCTAGCCCCAGCCCAAAAGTGAGATGCTCCAGTTGAGATGTGCTCCTCTAGCATCCACACTGAAACACACTAAAAGCAGCTCTTTAGAACATTGCCCAGAACCAGATGGACAGAGCACCTGCATCACTTATCCCGAATTTTCTGCAATTAAATTGACTGGCAAAGCTTCAAATGCCCAAACATTTTGCAATGCTGTTCCCATATTTTTTTCTCCATAAACATGTCAGTTTACTTTCTAAACTCTATCTCTTCTACTTTAAGTCTATTCACTTAGAAGTGTTCGCTTAGAATTTTGAAAGCACAAAGACTCATATTTCCACTTACTCAATGCAAAGAAAAAAGCCTAAGTAACCTGAGTAACTTACTAGCTTGTTAACCAAACCCTTTTTTCGTACATAATGCTCTCCCAATTTTCCACCAGTTGTAGACCAGAGGTCTGAAAGGAAGATAAAAATAACTAGTAAGCTTGTTCTTTAGAAGAGCCCTAATACCCATGCTGTGTAGAAATGCATTCTACATTTGTTCCAGATTTTGTTTAGCATTTCACTGTAAGCAACCATCCCGTTACACCATGCAGTAATTTTTAAAATAAAGAACAGAATAATAAAAATCTCCCCCAGATTAGCACAAACGGTTCCATGATTTCTGGAAGGCTAATCTTGCTGTTTGACTGAGACTAGCTTCTCAAAAATCAAGAGGCTTGAACTGAAGCTTACTCCACAGACTGTGGCTCTTGGATGAGCCCTCCTCTATGAAATTTCCAGTGTTTGTTAAAATCACACTGACACCTGTCCTGCAGCTGAAGCATTAATCAAAGCTCTGTCCTCTATATAGCTGCCTGTGCCCTCAACTTATAAAAGCTTATTATTCAAAACTTTTCTCATGTTAGAGATCAGTCAGTAGATTCACCACTTACAGGGAGAAAACAAATATTAACATATTTTGTTTCTGTAACAAGGCAGATGAATCGCCTTTAGTTTAAGTGAAGGTAGGAACTAAAGCAGGGTGTTCCTTATATTTCCTTACGATTTCTATATTCCTTGGAGTATCCAAATGCTCTTTTACTGTGATGATGGTGCAGAAGAGGGCATACCTAATATGATACTTCATCAAATCTTTAGGCATTCTATGAGATAAAATAGGGGTTTTATTTCAAAACTTACATTGAATTCCCATTGCCAGCACCCACAGTCAACAATTTATTTTCAGCATAGGAAACTCTGCTAATTCATAAAGGAATTCTTCATTGGTGCAAGCCAACTTGCTTAACTTTTGCTGTTTTTTTAAAAGCCATAGTATTCACTGTGAAGGATTTTACATGCTAAATGTGTTTAAACAGATATAGAAGTTACTACATAAGGATTAGGAGGAATCAACAGCATACTTCACTGCTTCATATTAAGCACATACAAGACATAGTAAAAATATCAAACACGAGTTTCCACTCGTACTGTGTAGTTCAACCAATTTACCTGAACTTGTAAAAATTAGCTAATGGTAGTACACAAGGCAGGTTTGTTAACTCTCAGTCATCTTATAAATACACAGCACATACCAAGTATTTCCTTGGTCATTGATGCTTCTTTGTGTGACCTCACTATCTCCTTTCCATCTGCTCTGTTCTTCTTATAGATTTTAATTACCAGCTAGATTATGGGAAAACTTAAGTCCTCATTGCACCGTACCAATTATGTGTATTCATTTTCATGTTAATATTCCTTCTTTTGTTTTTAGTATCAATTACAAATGTCTCAATCAATTACTACTCAAAAGAGTACTGAAATTCAGGAATCCTGAGGAGGACATGATCCACAGGTCAAGTCTCACATTATTTTTCTATCAAAGATAGAATGCATTAGTACATTAGTATTTCTACAGAAATGGAACCAAAGTTCATCAAATTCTTATCATAAAACCTTCAAAGATTTAACAGATAAAGCCAAATGGAACTTGGGTCTTCCAAGTAGTTTACTTGACTTTAGATGATTTGAAAACAGAGACGTTTGGAAACGGGAACCAATTTCTTCCATCTCTGATCACCTCCATTTCCACAAATGGCTGATAATGTAACACAGCCCTGGAGTGCCAGCCCCAGCTTCTGCGTGTTAGCTACACAGTATGTGGGAGCCACCTATGAGTTGTGTGTTTTGAGATCTCTTTGGCCTGTTTCTGGTAGTCTTTCACAAAAGTTTACGCATTTCTTTCATCAAGCAAAGAAGAAGAAAGATTTTATTAGCTAATCTCTACATGGAGGCAAATATTTTCCACTGACCCTCCACAGCATGTGCTATTACCACTGTTCATAAACTTCACTGCCTGCCAACTTTAACAAAGAAGCACCAGCCTTACGAAGCACAGCACCAAATTAAATTAACTGGTATCAGGAACCCAGACAAGAAAGCGTTTGTGTCTGCAATGCAAAAGAGCTGCTGGTGCTTTTGGTTACATTATCATATTCAAAGGACAGCTATGTCATTACATAGTTTTAGAAGACTGTCCATCTCACTGCAAAGCAGTGAATATTGCATACTTACAGCTTTATTGGATTCTTTCTTGGAGAACTGGAGAAAAATTAGATTTGGAAACTGCAAGGAATACTGAACATTCTTTTTCCCAACCATGCATGTATAAGTTGGATACAGTAATTATTAAAATTAAATAACTGCTGTAAAAAGTACTGTTATATGTTACTGAAAATTTGATGCTTCTTCTGAATCAACTGTATGCTTCCAGTCACTGAAATGAGCTGCCTGATGGCCACCTCATAAAATCTCATAAAACCCAACCAAGCTTTAGGATTGTTTTTGTTTAGAATGGCAGAATTCCAAGGTCAATAATAACTGATAAAATTAGGTTATCACTATTCAAATAATTATTTTTTTTTAGTAAGACTAGTAAGGGAAAAAGAATTGCATGCAAGTTATGGACAGAAAATTACATTGTAATATTAAATTATGCATGTTACTATTTTTGTTTCAAATAGTTAAAGAGATGATCCAATATAAAAAGCAGACCTTTACTTGGGTAACCCTTGTTGACGAAGTGTTAAAGGCATTTGCCATTCTTACAGGATAAAAACTAACGCCTTGAAGTGTTACCTACTCAGGCCTTTTAGCAAATTTGTTAACACTTTTAGGTATATTACTTCACCTTTCTCTTAGTGTGAACCGATATAAATTATTTAGCCAATTTTATTATTAAATGTGAACTAAAGTGTCATTTTAGAGCACTGCTCTTTATTTGTACTATTTTAGATTTATTCAAATAGTTAGAGGAAGCAGACTTGATTAATTACACAAGGAACTGAGAAATATTTCACAAACGGATACACTTTCCATTGTTTAAATGGATCTTAAACACTGC